AAAAAAATCCGCACATAATAATTTGTTATATTGATGTAACATATGTTTGATGATCAACCGCCATCGAACACCACATTTAAATATTTAAAAAAATATGCATGCATTTGTTATGCATGAATTAAAAGTTTTATGTATATTACAGTATATATTTATTAAATATTTATTAGTTAAGGCATAATATATTATCTAAAATATTGTATATAACTAATTACCTTGGTTGTTTTATTTTCTAAATTTTTTTCTTTTAATTTATTGTTGAAAAAATTATGCTCCATTTTTTTATCAGAGAATATGTTGTTATTATATTCATATTTAAACTTGAGGTATTCCATTAAATCCCAGGATTCTTCTATTTGATTGTTGAAGTAATTATACTCCATTTTGATTTTTTAAAAGGAAAGATAACAATATAATTTTTTTTTTTTTTTTTAACCATTTTTTAAAACTAAAGGAGCATATATGCCAAGATAAATTAACCAATTGATCTTTTATGATTAAAGAATGTGCGCACAAATTATTAAAAATGACTAGCCACATAGATACAATGATTGTGTTATAATCTATCCAATTATAAAAATTGTTTGATTTTCATAAGTTACACATATTCAAATATAAGTTTTATTATGATAATCCAATATATAACATGTCAAATTAAAAGCTATATCTATATAAAATATGTAACTTTGTATGTAACCATTGAAAAAATAATAATTCAAATAAAACAAATAAAGCAAATAATTCAAATAAAGCAAATATTCAAATAAGTGAATAACTCAAATAAAGTAAGGCAATAAAGCAAATAACTCAAATAAAATGAATAACTCAAATAAAGCAAATAATCCAAATCAAGTGAATAAAGCAAATAACTCAAATAAAGCAAATAATTCAAATAACTCAAATAAAGCAAATAAAAATAAATTTTTTAAGGTTGACTATATTAATATTACAAATGATTCAAATAAGAATTTGTATTATGAATAGAAACCCTAGATTTTTATTTTCACAAGGGTTAACCAGTAAGGATTATTAAAGATAATATTTTAATAAGGAAATGAATATGTGAGAGTGACATTATATATACTTTTATTTTCACAAGGGTTAGCCATTAATTCACAAGGAATAATATTAATTAATATTTTATGATTAATTTTTGTTGCATAATAACATATTCTCAAACATGGGTTTAAAATTTTTATTAAAAATTGTGTTTTATTTTCTGTGCATATTATATGTTACTATTTTAGTGAAGATAAAAAACTGTAAATAATTTAAATTTTTAATCAATTTTAAATAATAAATGTCATAACAAGATTATGTCATTAAAAAAAAAAACATAAAACTTAACCCTAAAAATCCATGTCATCATTATCAATAATATAGCTGACATTACAATTTCTACCTGGTGGTATAAAGGAAATAAAACCTACATAGTGGTCAATGCCAATTATTTCAATTATTTCAGAAGGACCAAAACCTTCAAAGGATTTTAATCCATAGGTATCTGTAATGACATTTCTAGTAAACTGAACACATGCAAGCATACGATCTCTGTCTTTATAATTATGTACCATAAAATATTTGACATTTGCAAATTTGACAACTTCTTTTGATTTTTTTGGTGCATTTCTTCTTGAAGAATTTAAATCAATTGACATATTAATCTAAACATTAAAATTATAAGTTAATAAATATTTCATGAATTAACTGATTTATTGCATAAATAATAATGCTTACAGCAACAAAATTATTGTTTCTTAGATTTTCTTTGCCTTTTGCATTATATAAAGATTTGATTATATGTCCATGCTTATTCATCATTTTTGCATATTTTTTACAATTTTTAGAAATTTCCTGAAATAAAAAATTATCTAAATACTATTATTGTAAAATCAAAACTTACATTGATATTTTTTATGTTCATATCATAAATAGCACTATAGCATTCCTTCAATTTTTTGACTTCATCATTACTTAATTGATATTTTTTGCTAGGAGAATAAAACTCATAATCATCATAATGATCATTATTAGCATACACTCTATGAACAGGAAATACCAGCATAGTGGAATTTCTCTTTATCACATTTGTCACATAGTGACGATCTTGAAATTATATTGTGTAACTTCTTAATTTTAAAATGAATTCATATATGTAAAGTCACGTTTTCAATTGACACAAAAATTTTTTAAATAATAATTTTTAAATAAACTTTATAATTCGTTATAAAATAAAGAAAGAAGGGCAGTTAATTACCAAC